ATGGGTTACTTTCATTTTCCTCTTCCTGCCAGTAACAGATGAAACATAGTTTTGAAAGTGTTGTGCTGTGTTGTCAGATTTGCACCTCTTGTCACTACCCTTGTCCCTTAACATTTTCCTTTTCCCTGTATGTACTCCAGAATCTAACCCAATTTTTTTCTTTCGAACACCTTTTCTCGGCATCTTGCAATAAGATAGTGAAGTACAGATATGTTTTGATTTCAATACAGATGATATATCCACGTGTTATGCACATTGGCTTCCGTAGTAGACTGAGGTAGCACTCAGCGTAAAATATCTTTTTAACTACAAAGGTAGTTTATTAAAGTAGCTTTATTATGCATTGACATACATTTCAATACATGGAGGAATGAAATAAAGTTAAAAAAAAGTTGATATTTTAATACTAAGAAATGAACACGACATCAACATGACAGACTGTCAGTAACCTCTGTAAAAATGTATCAAACAATAGATATTAGCAATGATCACATTGCAAACCAATTACCTGGATGTTATAAAACATGATGTTTCAATGCCGCACCAGTGTTGTTTCGATCAATCTTCTGATCCCCCTCCACAGTTCATCAATCCCTCCTGTTGCAGACCGGTTGCGTTTACCTTCCAAACCGGAAGTCACGGGGCAAAGATTTTTGCACTAAAAACGAAACATGAATTTTACTTACATTAAGTAAAGAAATAAATCCTAATTTAGGTTGTAAAGAGATATGTTCATGTGTTGATTAAAATTGAAACATGTTTGGTCGACATGTTGGCACTAAACACAAAAATACATATCTCGTTCATAACGGCGTAGGAATACGAAATAGTGCGAGAACACAAGGATTTTGTAAACAAATTTCACGCAATGACTGGTGAAGTGAAAGTAATCAGATAAAGAGAATAGCACACCCGATTGCCTATTTGAACATACATTATACGCCTGGATATGCTTAGTATTGAAATACGCGGAGAAGAAACGATATGGCCCTATGATATTAATACAACACCATGTGGAATTTCGACACCAAGTAATAACTGTTATCCAATATGGCGGCCCCCACGAAACATGAGGGTACCCTTGTTTGCACTTGCTATGTGCGGTTTCTAAACTTTAAACAAAAAGTAAGGCCCCTGTGACCTCGCTCTTGACATGTACTTTGATATTTGCTGTATATTTTTTAACATGGTGTTTCAAACAAATAGATTGACATGTTAAAGTTTTAGCGAAGTAATACTTGGATTATATATCATTCAGTCATCATATTATGGTTATCAAATGGTACCTTATAAAAAATTGCAGCACTCCAATCGAAGTCCAACTAGTGATTTTTCGACATGCATATTTCGATTTCTTGCTTGGATGTGAAAACTATGTAAATCCTTACTGAACCCATGGCGCCCACATTTAGTGTTTGTGGAGGGCTTGTTGAACCTTAAGCTGGTACTATTTCACGACAGGCTAGTCCTCCAGAAGTATTTGTATTTAGGATACAAAGTACAAATGTAATTAATAACACGGAATCTAAGTCCGTGTTAATAATAATAATTCGAGTTTCTTATATACCGCTTTATCACAACCTAGTAAACAGGTCGTCTCACAGCGGTTCACATATCATTATCCCTGATTATAGGGCCTTGGTAATAGGTTTGTACTATTCCATCATGCGAATCGTGTTCAGATTTAACAAGCACGCCTTGGGCAGTCAAAGGTATGGAAGCTCCTATGTGTCAGCTGCAACCCTGGCCTATAGTCGGTTGTATCAATATATGTGATTACTTAGCTTTGGAGCGAATTGCTTTAATAAGAGCGTAGCTATCGGGTGCCGAAGGCGACCGCGCGAAGCTCTTTAATGGTAACATATGCGTGCGTAAACAGAGTTGGTCTCTTTTTTTCCGCCCGGAAGTGGCCGTCCAGTGGGGTAACCGGAAGTGTATCCTTGAAGCAAAGACAATTTTGTTTCATCACACACACGTATATCTATATACAGCGAACCCAATCTTCGTGAAAATCGAAGTAGAAATTCTCCTTTGGCGTATTCTCGCGGGAATGAGATGGAACTTTATCAGCCATTGCTAGGGAAAATAAATGAAACAGCCGTATACAGAATTATTGTTATATTTCTATATTTTCATATTTTGTTAAAAATTAACTTACATTCTGAGTGAAAAAGTCCATTTCATAAAATGTGATACTAACGTGCATGAAACTTCTTTCAGATATTATCTTACTATGACGTCTCAAACACGTTATACTCCATCGGCTTTTATCAATTATTTCCGGAAGGATGAAAAATAACCGGAATATCTTTGAACTAACGTCAGTTGCATTTTCATTTTGCCGTTGCTTCTTTTTTATTCCTGTTTTTACCACAGGCACAAAAAGCCAAAATGCGGATATTTTCTGAAGTTCCTTTTTGTCATCAACCAAATGTCTTCGAAAAGAGCAAGCATTAAAACAATGGGTCTACGTATACATTTATATTTTTCATCGTCTAAAATGTTATCTGAGGTTTGTCTTGCGTGTGATCAACTGCCCGTGCGCTTAATGTTAAGGAGGCTCCACCCTTTAGCAATTAACCAGCAGAATTCAATTAAAGTTTCACATAATGGTTATGTCACTATGTAGAGATGAATTTATGAAAATCTAAGTATTCCGATAAACTGATGTTGTGCGTGTATATATATGTATATTATTATAGTATTACTATACATAAAATCTTATGGTTACATTTTTGCTACATTTATTCCGATTTAAGTGATCCTATCCTTATATAAAAACAGTATTATTAATAATCCCCACATGAACTGCGTATTAGTTAGTACTTTCCTTTACGAGACTATGAATAAATGGCTTATTGCCTTTTTTACATGCTATCATTTGTATATGTTAACATCGAGGTTTCTTTTCGTCTTTCTTCAGCACTGACATAGGTAAACAAAATCTTTCGCTGGATTGCACAATTTGCACAATGTCAGTGTATGATACCGACTCGCTATTTTGTAAAATTGTCTTTTTGTTTATTTGATAATGGGTAATTCTTACATGTGTCACAGAATAGCGATCGGTATCTTTTATTCTAAGGTCTACGGTGAATGTGCGATGAAATCATTTATATTTTTATCGTTTAATTCCAAAATGATTTTATGGATAAACGACCGTGGTCGGATCTTTCTTTCATGGTTAATAAATCGATTGAATATAAAAAAAAAATTCATGTTTTCGAAATTTTGAGTTTTCAGCAATTTTGCTTCTACTTTTATTACAACAAATGGATATTGAATCCGATCCTAGCCCGAGGCTTGACGAGCTTTCGATCTTTCCCCTTAATATAAAAAGTGTTTGGAATAAATTGGATTATATCGAAGATATAGCCGGTGAATATGACATTATATGTTTAACAGAAACTCATTTAGATGACCAGGTACCTACAGATGACTTACTTATAGCTGGATTTCATGAATGTTTTCGACTTGATAGGAACTTGACTGGTGGAAGGAAGTGTTCTGGTCTGCACTAACAATTTTCTAAAAGTAAACCGTTTATCGGAATTAGAATATCCCGGCGGTGAGGTAATTTGGATAAATGTCACACTAACAAATTCGTCCTTCATTATTGGCACTGCTTACAGGCCTGAACATTCTGCTTTACCTTTCTGGGAAAACATGCGTACGTCTATCAACAATGCTCTAGATATCACACCAAATATTATAGTAACTGGTGATTTAAATGTCGACTTATTAACTGCATCTACTAACCATGTTCTTTTTGACATCATGAATTCCTTTAGTATAACCAATGTCATAAATGAACCTACTCGTATCGGACCGACTAGATCAGGCCTACTCTACCTTATTCTTTTAACTCAATCACTTTCCTGTATTGATTCTTCTGTGGTATCAGTTGATAACTCTTTCAGTGACCACGATGATTGTGCTGCTTGTATTAAAATTACATGTGCTTTTAGATCCACTTATAAGCGTAAACTTTGGCTGTATAAGAGGGCAGACTTTCAATTGTTTAATAATCTTATTTCTAATTATAATTGGATCGATCTTTTTCTAAATTGCTACTCCGTTGATATTGCCTGTGAGCGTTTTACTGATGTTTTTCTAAAATTTGCTCATTTATGTATTCCATCAAGTTGTCACTTTAAGACCAAATGACAAACCTTGGTGACCTCCGAACAAAGAAAAAATTCGAGATAGGTTGCACAAAATCGCGAGGTCAACCAAGCTTCTTTCGGATGTTAATAAATTTAAGTCTCATCGTAATAAGGTTAACAACTTGAAAAAGCATGCCCGTTTTATATTTTATGAAAATGTTCAAGGTATAATTGAAGACTATTCGTCCTCTGATCCAAAATCTTACTGGAGACTTATTAAACGGTTAATGAAATCCACTGGCACTCCACAATCTATACCTACTCTTGTAGATCCTCATACAAACAATATTGTTACTAATGACGAAGACAAAGCTAACTTATTAAATGACTATTGTTGTAATACTACACGAGTAAATGATACTAACACTGTGATTCCTATTGTGGAGCCAAAAACTGACAAAACGTTCAGTTCTATAAAAGTAAATAATAATGAAATTCGAGACGTTCTACAGATATTGAAGCTCGGTAAGGCCTCGGGTGAGGATGAAATCAGACATACCTTAAGAAATACCTCACAGTCTGTTTGTATTCCACTTGAAATTATTTTGAATATGTCTTTATCGGCAGGTATCTTCCCAACTACTTGGAAATAACCCAATGCCTCATTACATTTTTAGGCGGAGGGACGGTGGTCCTTAGGGGAAAACGTATAACATCCCTAATGGGGTATCATTGTAAATCTGCCAAATAGTAACGTAGATAACAATCGAGGATATTACAGATATTGGTTATTTCTTATAAGGTAGATCATTTGTAACGTAATCCTACGTTAATCCATTACTAGTTGCTGACGTATATCGCGTCGTGATCGATATCAGAGCTCCTTGCTGTCAGATATGAAGCATCGTACATACATAGTACATAATCTACCCACGTGTGTCTGGTTCTGCGGTGGTACAGTCGTGTTTATCCGATATATGCGGTAGTAGTCGGCAGAGCTTTTCAATATGGCTAACAAGACGACCTCAAAGAACGCGCTTATTGTGTATGCTCACCAAGAGCCGAAATCGTTTAACGCAGCACTCAGGGACACAGCCGTGGACACTTTGAGAAAATCTGGATATAACGTCGAAGTGTCGGATCTGTACGCTCAGGGATTTGACCCTCGCGCAACCAAAGATGACTTCACGGGTATGTAGCAACGCTGTTTATTATTACAGTTACCGTGCCGCAATCTGTCCGGGAAAACTGCGGTTAAAATTATACTCATAAAATTTCATAAATATTATTAGTATATTTGTATGAAAACATTTACAAATTCCAATTATTTATATTTATGTCAAGCATAAGCGTGCGAAGCCTTTTCCCGACTGTTAAGTATATCACCGGGCACAGACTTAAGTTGAAGCCCTGTTTTCATGAGATATCACCAGAGCAGAATCCAACGAATGGCGACTATGTGTTTTACTGGGTCAGAGGAAATGTTTACACAATACTTTGTGTTCGACAGGGTCAAAGATCATGTTTACACAATAAACGTGTGTTTATCTTACTTGATAATGATTAATTACGTCACTTGATTTGTTAAACGACTTTATATATTCACTTATGAAATAATACAAGCAAAAGATTATCGTATAAGCAGAAAAAACGTGCAACAATTTGACAAGAATTATTGCATTTTAAAGGGGCCAATTGGGGCATTTTGCAGAGAGCATTGTGACGTTTTAACAGAAAATGACGTCATAAGGTATTCAATATTTTTTTCGTATCAATATCAAACAATTGGGTAATACACTGAGTCAACATCTGAAGTCAACGACCTCTACGTGATTTTGATCTAAACAATGAGGATGCAGAAAAAAGCCTGCGTCATCTAATAGTACAATTAATCTTAATGTCAGATACCTATTGTGGTACATTGCAAATTAAGGTAGAATATGTAAATAGTACCGTTATTTATATAACCATCAGTTCGATGAATTCAATTAGCAATCATTAAGAAACTAAATGAGAAGGACATTCTCGTTCATATTTATTAAATTGACCAGAAAATAATGCTCGTTCAAAGATGACGCGCTTCCTTCAAACAAACATGCTCCAGGCTGGATAGTGCCCTAATTTCATCTTTATTTTAAGGAACTTGGCGTCTAGTTCAGAAATAAGGTACAGAAAACAAATTCTCTAAAACCAACTTAAAATAAAGTTTGTACTTTTTTGCAGGTTATTGAAAACTGATCATTGTTGTACATCCTCGAAATTCAATGGGTTACGCTCACCTGTGTTCTCTGCACACCTGGAATATGTCGTGACAAAATCAAACTCACGCATTTAGCTATTGGATTAGTTTCAGGTGATTAAAAAAACACCTGACCGATTGCTACACGGATACCTGTTCATTGAGGATTACAAAGTTACGACACATGGGACTTATAAGTCGGTCAAGGTCATTGTTACGCTGCCGCGCGATAATCTTAAATCAAATGACAAACTGGTTACACGTGGTTCACGCGTTTCATCCACACATTGGCGCATACATGTACTGAGCCTTCCATTTTGTCAAGACATAAGCAATTGGTACAGAGAGCGTAATTGAGCGTAAGTAACCCCTAGAGTACCGAGGATGTCAGTGTGGGGTACGTGTAACATGTATCAGTGTCTATATAAATATAAACTTTATTTATTTTACAACAATTATAAAACAAGTTTTTACAACTTATACTTATCATTCTTGTTGACCCGGATATTAGCGCGCAGGGGTTCTGGCTAACGGAGGAAACCGGAGTAACCTGAGAAAACCCACGTAGTCGGGCAGGTGACCCCATATTGTCTGTATAGGATAGTTACTGAAGCAAAAGTGTCTTGTTTCATCTTAAATAAGAACGTTTTTTGTCTATGATTGGACGATAACATAAACAAGTATCAACACTGACAACATGAGTACATTAGTAGGTCGGTGTATATAGTTCATGTCTTAAACTATTTCAATACATGAACTTTTATGAAAACATGAATATTTATGTAAAAGCACGATTGTTGTAAGTGAATAAAGTCTAGAGGACTTTTAAAGTACAGACACTTGAGTTCAGTAATTAAAAACTAAGCAAACAAATACAAATTCAATTCTGTCTCCATTTTACACATTCCTGTTCACCTAACGTTAAGTTATTTTATTTAGTGCTGATGTTCACCTGATTCTATTAGTGAAATCTTCAGACTTAATAAAAATAAAAAATGAAAGTTTGGTTACCGATTTTACCCAATGTCGGAAACAAATTATACTCTGTAAGTTTTAAAAGTATTGCTTTAAACAAAGATATAACTTTAATTACCCAAATTTGCTCGTTCAGCGACATAAACTCCAACTCCAATGTATGTTCGCTGATAAAATGTCAAACAATATAAGATTTAAGCAATTATGAGATGTTTTCTGATTACCTTTATGCACGGAAACATAACAAAGAGGTTCTCGATTGATCCCGAAGTCAAAAGGGACGCATGCTCTCGGCTTTGTCGCGGTTCGGATTCTATCTACCAAACGATGTGCTATTGGGTCAATTTTTAATACTTAGTCTTTCAATTTTGTACACATAGTCGACAAAACATAAACAAATAAATAGATTTTACATATCAACGTGAATAATGTAAAAGGTTTTACAAGATAAGCTTGTTTTCGTTCTTTTTGGAAACCGTTTCTTTGTTTCGTGTACCTCCAGATCATTGATATAATACATAATGGCCGTATGTTTTCGATATTTTGCTACTTCTTGAAATTAAGAGATCCTCCACACTGCTGAAAATATATTCATCAGGTATACCAGATAATCAGATCCAAGATCGGCGAAAATTGAGACAAAGATGTTTCACATTCAATAAAACCACGACGTTCTCTGATTGTTTTCTCTTCAAATCCATTCGTGCTAGCCAATCTAAATAAGAATTGTACAAACAGTGTGTTATATAAAATTGCAAATGTACGGAGCCCCTGCACCGATATGCTACACACTTATTTTCTCATGTCTTGTCGAAATATTATTTCGTAATAACAAATTATTATTTAGTAATTGTTATTCGTAATATCGAATTGTTTTTTCGTGGTTTTTTCTTCTTTAAAATTATTTCGTTATAACGGATTGTTATTTGTTATATCGAATTGTTATTCATTATATCGAATTGTTATTTCGGTTTTATTTCAGGTAATTTCGTTATAACTAATTGTTATTCGTTATATCGAACTGTTTTTTTTTTTTTTAATATCATTTCGTTATGACGAATTATTATTTCGTTAAAATGAACAATAATATAAAATAATGACACGTGCGGCCAGTGTTTGAATTGATTAACGGTGCAAAAATGTCATAAGTCGACTACATGGTGATTTATATGAAATAGGTTGTCAATGCGTGATTTTAGAAAGCATTGGATACCAAGAGTGCACGCGACTGCCACAGGGACATGATAATTTGTAATTGTTATATCTGGACCTAAACTAAGGTGTAATTTTACACGTTTAAAGTGTAAAATTACTCTGAACTGAACACCTTAGTTTTGGTCCAAAACTGTAACAAACTCTCATGTCCATGTGGTGGTTGTCTGGTCGTAACGAGAACGGGTGTCTATTATCAACAGTATATTCGAGCTGAAACTTTTCATTGTGCCGTGTACTTCCGGTTCATTGATATATATTACATAACGGTCGTATGTTTTCGATATTACGCACACAGGATGTTGTCATATAAATGTGTACTGGCCTTATTGCTTTGTCAGATTTGATCCGCTGAAGACACTGTATGGTCGTCATCAGGATATGATTTATAAACTATATGACGCAAGTGTCTGCCATGCCTATATCACAGGTTGTTGGTAGCAGACTTAATTACTGTACTATTATTATTTGACAGGAGAAACCATGATATGGCTTTGCTGATGGGGTTGATGCTCTTCCCTATTTATTTTTATTATTATTTCTCCCCTTAAGATGTATTTTTTTTCATATTGATTTTTGATTTGTCATTCTGTGCTGATACTGTATCAAATAAGTGCCTATTGTCACTCCTTATAAGCAAATAATGGTATGCCAGGCGCAAGAATTCGGATACGTTTTTTTTTAAATTTTAATTCACACGTAAACGAAGCTTAATATAACAACTTGTCTACTTATTCCAAAGGTACTTTGGCCGATCCCGATCATATGCAATACCATCTAGAGGCTAGACATGCCTATGTAACGTCAACCATGTGTGCGCAGACTCAAGCTGAGGTCGACAAAGTCAGAAGAGCTGACGTCATCGTGTTTCAATTTCCGATGTACTGGTTTTCCGTTCCAGCCATTTTGAAGGGTTGGTTTGATAAGGTCCTTGTCGCAGGGTTCGCCTTTGATTATCCCAACAATCTATACGACAACGGTCTTATGAAGGTAAGTTTTTAATACATAAACACAACTACTAAATAGGATTAAATTAAGGATTGACCTTCCTTTTGACGGCGTATACGGAAGTATGAACGCAGTTGGCAACGAACATATTCTATGGTGCGCGTTAGCGCTCCATAAAGAACATGTTCGTTGCCAACTGCGTTCATACTACCGTATACGACGTCAACATGAAGGCCAATCCTTATTTGAAATTTGAATGTGCATCCATGAAATAAGAAGTTTGTCAGCATTTTTTTGTTGTATAATTAGACATAATGGATCCCGAATATGTTATATGTATCTAGATGGCGAATGATCTAAGCATTGGTTGTCATTGGACTGATATCTCGCTGAAGCGTGAACGGCGCCATATTTGAAACAAGTATCAATCCTGTTGCTGAACTTGTGATCACGTCTCAGGGGTTATATCGCATCGTTGGAAAAGGAAGTTTGCCGCAGTATTGTTTGGCTGTTATGAAAAGCATTCCTACTAAAACAGATATAGCTTGAACGAAAATTAGTATTTAAGTTAAGCAATGTTTACCCAGTGACCAGAATTATATTAGCTTTCGATTACATTGTTTATTTTTAGGGGAAGAAGGCCATCCTTTCGTTGACAACCGGGGGGTCGGGCGTGATGTTTTCTGACCGTGGACTTAATGGCGACATCAACGTAGCACTATGGCCGATACATGTAAGTTCGGTAAACCTTAAAGTGTAAATTTAGAATTGATTTGGAGTTGGTTTCTCTTTTTTGATATGTTAGAGTGTGTTTTCCATTTTGACAGATAGATGTCTGGTGTGGGACGTCTATCTGTCAAAATGTCTAAGTCTGGTGTCAGGGCCTGAGGAAACTCGGGCTAACCGATATGTATCCGGTTATTTTTCACAAACATTTTGTAGTTACTATTGCATGACAAAGGTTCTCCCTTACCTTATGCATATTCGCTATGTATACCATTGCTCATTATATATTTCAGTATGGCTTGCTACAGTTTTGTGGATTCGACGTAATGCGACCACATATTTGCTTCTGTCCTGGTTATTCAAGTGACGATCAAAGGAAAGAATATCTGGTGAAATTGACCAATAGGCTGAAGGGATTGTACGAAGAATCTCCACAGAACTTCGTCTCCGTGAACAACTTTGATCCCAAGAAAGGGTTTGCAATGACAGAGGAGTACGTTCAGAAGGAGTCTAACAACGCCAAAGCTCCGTCCATTGGCCACCATCTAGGAAAGAAGATTTCATTACTATAAAACGTCAACATTATTTTTGTATTGTTTTAATAAATGTCATTTCGTATTCATACCTTCAGACATATTTAATACTGAACTGTTATCCAACAATGAAGTGGGGATGTCATAGACTGTGTGTGAATAACACATTTAAGGTTTCAGTTTAAATCGATGTTTAGCACAATAGTCGGAGTATAACACAAAGAGAAATCAACGTACTAACTGCATATATCCACGTAGCCAATAAATTAAGGGAATAATTCGCCACCAATTCTTATCACTCATTTTCGAACGCATTTTCACGCAATATGGTCTATTGAGAGCATTTACATCGTGACTTCGGAACCGTTTGTCTCCCTCAATACCTAGAGGACATTCTACATGTAATATAGACCAAGTGTTATATTTTGTCCATGTGTATCGCCGCTGTGGTATTTTTGTCCATGTGTATCGCCGCTGTGGTATTTTTGTCCATGTGTATTGCCGCTGTGGTATTTTTGTCCATGTGTATTACCGCTGTGATATAATTTATCCATGTGTATTGACGCGGTGTGAGACATTTTGTCCTTGCGTGCTGTGGTATATTTTGTCCATGCATGTTGATGTTTAAGTATATTTTGTCCATGTGTATCGGCGCTGTGGCATATTTTGTCCCTGTGTGTCGACGTTGTGGTTTATTTTGTCAATGTGTATCGACTCTGTGGTATATTTTGTCCATGTTTATTGACGCTGTGGTATATTTTGTCCCTGTGTGTCGACGTTGTGGTTTATTTTGTCAATGTGTATCGACTCTGTGGTATATTTTGTCCATGTTTATTGATGCTGTTGTATATTGTGTCTATGTGTGTTGACGCTTTGGTATATTTTGTCCATGTGTGTTGACGCTTTGGTATATTTTGTCCCTGTGTATCGACGCTTTGGTATATTTTGTCCATGTGTGTTGATGGTTTAGTATATTTTGTCCCTGTGTGTCGACGTTGTGGTTTATTTTGCCAATGTGTATCGACGCTTTGGTATATTTTGTCCCTGTGTATCGACGCTTTGGTATATTTTGTCCATGTGTGTCGATGGTTTAGTATATTTTGTCCCTGTGTGTCGACGTTGTGGTTTATTTTGCCAATGTGTATCGACGCTTTGGTATATTTTGTCCCTGTGTATCGACGCTTTGGTATATTTTGTCCATGTGTATCGGCGCTGTGGTATATTTTGTCCATGTTTGTTGATGCTGTTGTATATTGTGTCCATGTGTGTTGATGTTTTAGTATATTTTGTCCATGTGTGTTGACGCTTTGGTATATTTTGTCCCTGTGTATCGACGCTTTGGTATATTTTGTCCATGTGTGTTGATGTTTTAGTATATTTTGTCCCTGTGTGTCGACGTTGTGGTTTATTTTGCCAATGTGTATCGACGCTTTGGTATATTTTGTCCCTGTGTATCGACGCTTTGGTATATTTTGTCCATGTGTATCGGCGCTGTGGTATATTTTGTCCATGTTTGTTGATGCTGTTGTATATTGTGTCCATGTGTGTTGATGTTTTAGTATATTTTGTCCATGTGTGTTGACGCTTTGGTATATTTTGTCCCTGTGTATCGACGCTTTGGTATATTTTGTCCATGTGTGTCGATGGTTTAGTATATTTTGTCCCTGTGTGTCGACGTTGTGGTTTATTTTGCCAATGTGTATCGACGCTTTGGTATATTTTGTCCCTGTGTATCGACGCTTTGGTATATTTTGTCCATGTGTATCGGCGCTGTGGTATATTTTGTCCATGTTTGTTGATGCTGTTGTATATTGTGTCCATGTGTGTTGATGTTTTAGTATATTTTGTCCATGTGTGTTGACGCTTTGGTATATTTTGTCCCTGTGTATCGACGCTTTGGTATATTTTGTCCATGTGTGTCGATGGTTTAGTATATTTTGTCCCTGTGTGTCGACGTTGTGGTTTATTTTGCCAATGTGTATCGACGCTTTGGTATATTTTGTCCCTGTGTATCGACGCTTTGGTATATTTTGTCCATGTGTATCGGCGCTGTGGTATATTTTGTCCATGTTTGTTGATGCTGTTGTATATTGTGTCCATGTGTGTTGATGTTTTAGTATATTTTGTCCATGTGTGTTGACGCTTTGGTATATTTTGTCCCTGTGTATCGACGCTTTGGTATATTTTGTCCATGTGTGTTGATGGTTTAGTATATTTTGTCCCTGTGTGTCGACGTTGTGGTTTATTTTGCCAATGTGTATCGACGCTTTGGTATATTTTGTCCCTGTGTATCGACGCTTTGGTATATTTTGTCCATGTGTATCGGCGCTGTGGTATATTTTGTCCATGTTTATTGATGCTGTTGTATATTGTGTCTATGTGTGTTGACGCTTTGGTATATTTTGCACATGTGTGTTGACGCTGTGATATATTTTGTCCCTGTGTATTGACGTTGTGGTATATTTTATCCATATGTATTGCCGCTGTGGTATACATTGTCCCTTTGTATTGACGCTGTGGTATACTTTGTCCCTATGTATTGCCGCTGTAGTATACTTTGTCCCTTTGTATTGACGCTGTGGTATGTTTTGCACATGTTTGTTGACGCTGTGAAATATTTTGCCCATGTGTATTGACGTTGTGGTATATTGTACCCATATGTGTTAACGATGTAATAAATTTTGTTCATGTGTGTTGACTCTGTGGTAAACTTTGTCCATGTGAGTTGACATGGTGAATTTTGTCTTTGTGTGTTGACGCTGTGTTATATTTTGTCTTTGTGTGTTGATGTTGTGGTTAGTAACACAACGATGACCGATAGCGGCCGCCGACTTCTGATTATGCTCGAAAGTGAACTTTTGAATAAAAAGGTCATCAAAATTGTTTTCCCTAAAAAGCAATTTCAAAGATGTTCCCAAACAAAATGTATCGCGATACATTTCAGTTAAAGAAAATTATGAAAAATGATATGTAACTCAGTACACTATCGATTAAAACGTGTAAATTAAAACATTACTTTTTGGACATAAAAGTATTCGTTAATGTATAGCCTCTGTCAGCTATCGAAGTACGAGTAACCACGGATAGGGTAGATTGAACAGGAAATAATGAAACGGGAAGTTAAAAGTAACACTTCACCTCTATGAAAAATTGCAATTTTAACAAGAGACCCAAGAGCCTTAGCGGTCACCTGAAGTATATCATAGGTACTGGTAGCTTTATTTTATTGTTTAGATGTGATGTGGAAATCAGCATGTTAACTAAGTGAAATACAATACTTGCCATGTCATCAAAGGATAAGAATTTTAAAATATTGGTAAATGTTCCCTTTTGTGCCCCACCCTAGCCGCTAGGGATGGGTCAGGAATCCCAATTTTACAATGTAATACCTCATTCACCAAAGATGATTCTGACTAAGTTTGAGTAATTGTGTTAAGTGTTATTTCCCTATATACATTATAGTAAACTTAACCCCCCACCTCAAGGGGAAACCGATGGATCGGGGGTACTGAAATTAACAATTTCAATAAAGCCCCTGATATTTCATTCCATGCAGAGAAAATGACTGTAGTACCTCCGAGTCTGGAGAAGAAGATTTTTGAAATAATGGTTAATTTTCCCTTTGGGGCCCACCCTTGCCCCAGGGGTTGGGGTAGGAATCCCAATTTTACAATATTGTAGCCTCATCTACCAAGGATGATTCTGACAATGTTTGAAAAAATTCCATCAACTGGTTCTTGAGAAGAAGTTGAAAATGTAAAAAGTTTACGCACGACGTCGGACGGAAAGCGATTAGAATAGGTCACTTGAGCAAAGCTCAGGTAACCTAAAAATGTTTCAGAACAAATCAAGAACTATCAAAATCGTGAGAGAAAAAAAATAACAAAACAAGAGAAAACCACTGAAGAGGAAGAATGATATGTCAGAGTTCATTAAACTTTTCGCCATTACCGACCATACTCCATTGTATAAAATTTAATATATATTAAGGAACTGAGGAGACCTCAACATACAGCAGACATAATTAACACCTAATTAAGGAAGGGGACAAGATACCCGGGCAGGGTAGGCGGTACCTTCATCGCATGTTGTCTCAGTCTTGATATCATGGTATACAATGAAAATTCTTTGACAATTAACAGGCCATGAGGGCGGTCGTTAAAGCGATTCAGCGTAGATTTCAACCTCTCTTGTAGAAAACCTTGAAAGTATTCGTCGATGACACCTTAGACCAATGGAATGCGGTTTAGGAGGGGATATGGTTTGTCCACCATAAATACGTCATTGAAGTTTAACATCTTTTCAAACCAATGTATTTATAGTATTAATGGAATTTCATAATTGTAATTTTAGCTACATTTTTTTCTGCAGATTGCGGCAGGGTAACTTTAAATGACTTTCATAGTTACTTGCGAGAACAATCAACGGCAGAGGAACATGAACCCACTCTAAACCATTGGCTCATTTTTTGTTATTATAGTCAATCAAAAAAGAACAAAGAGTCGTAGATTTCCATTTTCAATCTTGTTTTTATTCCCTCTCTTCTACAACATAATTATCAAAATGCGCTTCGCACACATATGCTAATAAAATCATAGAATAAATACGTACTGATGGTTGCTCAAATCTCAAACGTCGTACAATTTTCAAAAGCAAAACGATATCTTATGAAGAGTCTCCTTGTGTTTTATATGTATATTAAACTTTGGTCGTTTCACAAAAAAAGTCTGACTAGTACAAGCTTGCATTACACTTTCACCTAAGGCATGTTAGGTCGGAGATAGACATTGTAGGTGTTTTTTTCTATTAGATAGAGTGGGAAACTTATTGCAGTTCGGGTTTGGTTCCTCACGATACAAAACTAGTCGTACAGTATCACAGTGCTAAATATCCTGCTTCATAACATGGCAAACTAGAAGTTGCATAATATATGCATCTTACAGGACACTAACTCAGTTTCCATCGTATTCAAATGAATGAAACAAGACACTATTGTTCACCTTGGCCAGCTAAAAATAAGAGGTTTTCAGGAGAGTTGTGAACCTCATATGAAACGATAGCGAATTTATTATCATTTTACCGCTGTCCCAAGAGGTTACAGAAGTGTTGAAGGAAATCCTGTAATACATTATGACATCGGTATATCTACGATATATTGAAGCATGTTTTAATGTTCTAATTACTCCTAAACATATCAACCAGGCAAAATCATTCCAGGTTATATTACACTCGCTAGTTTAATTTCACATTTAATAATAATAATTCGAGGTTCTTATATACCACTTTATCACAACCTAGTTCGTAGCTCGTCTCAAAGCGGTCCACAAAGTATTATCCGTGGTTATATAGGGCCTTTGCAATCATCCAATATCTTTCTCAACTCCCTGGGGAGCATACAGCCGGAGCTGCCTTTTCGGCGCTAACAGCTAGCA